TTGGGGAATTTTAGTGTCTGGGCTTGGCATCCTAATGTGGGATGAAAGGATCTCACAGCCAGACCTTCCCTCCCAAGATTAATTTAGTCTCAACCAGCTGCAGGATTTTCCAAAGCAGCCACTAACCTACCTCACAGTCCAAAGGGTATATGACAGTGTGTCCCTTATAACCCTGAGCCAGGAAATCACAAGAAGATTGGAGCAGAAGACAAATGGTCCTGTATTGACCCTGCAAGGCCAGCCTTTGAAAATGGAGCTGCTTTTGACACACAGCACCGGCATATGCCTCTCAGACTGAGACAATGCAAAGAAGTCCAACTACCTAACCACACATGACCAGACAGAAATGCCCACTCAGTCCCATATTGTAGGTCCACTGCCTGGACTATACATACACACACGCAATGACATACGTGCCACATGTGTCTATATAGAGCCTACATGCACCCATCTACTGACATGGACAAACACAGAGCTCTATGGAGCATACTCCTAAGCACCCTTGACACCCTGGAGACTCCACATACCTTGACATAGTCATATTCACACAGGTAGGACAGCTCCAAGTTGAAGTAGGTGAAGTAGAGGCGGATGGTGTAGCCCTTGGGGACACTGATGTCCCAGATCCTCTCCTTGTTGTTGGGGTACACATTGGGGAAGTCAGGGGAGGCAAACTGCCCGTACATCTTCTGCAACAGGATGCTGCTACCCATCCCATGGCAGAGGGCAGCCAAGAGGAGGTACAGCCTGCCCCAAACAGAACAGAGCCACAGGGAGAGGGTCAGTGCAAGCTCAGAGATTGCGCCCACTCCATTCTGCGGGCACTGGTCAAGATCCCAAATCTTATTTAACTTCGGGGTAAAACAGCAGCAAATGCCAGCGTTGCTGCCATAACTGCATTGGAATCAGGCTGCCCGGCATTGCACAGCTAAGTTCAAGAGGGACCTCTGCAATAGCACTCACCTCATGGCACCACCGTCCTGCCCGAGCCTGCTCCGGTCTGAGCCCTAAGGCTGTGGCTTCTCCCAGTCTATTTGCTTGCGGATGCTGGGGGAGGGGGCGTCCCACTGGCTCTGCTGTGTTTGTCCGGCTGTTGGACTCCGATCCTTATTGGCCTTTCACCCTCAGTGCCTGACTTCTGGGAACTGCAGTGACCGGAGCAGGCCCACGTTTCCAGGCTCTGGACCAGCACAGAGAGAACAAACGTGCTGATGGAGTTAGAGCATTTCAGTCCCCACCTATGCAGAGAAGGAGCAATAGGCCTGGTGTTCACGCAAGCAACCTGGGGACGAGGAGGAGAAGGTGGGGGCAGGTACAGGGTGGTTCAGGAAGCCGTGTGCTCTGGAGGCAGAGGGGTGTTTAGCAATCCCTTTACCCTGCGGGGAAGCTCATGCAGCTGCTTTGTTCCTGTTGCGCAACGTGCAAGTGCCGGGAGTCCCGGGCTTCTCTCCCAGTCCGTGCAGGAAGGTGCCGAGAAGTCACCAAGGGGCCCACGAGTCTGTGCTGACCCGCTCAGCAGCTGCCTGCATGGAGGAGGACCCGAGAATACTCTTCTGCACTGAGGACATCAGCTTTCACCACCAGCCCTCAGGAGAATTGGGAATGCAGAGCAACACTGGCCTCAATGGGGTAATGCAGCCTTTCAGCTCCCAGCTGCTGGTTCAAATCCAGCCCAAGTCTATCATGGCTGAAAGCAGTTCCAGTGTTTTATGTGAGCCTGTGTGGGGTGTGCATTTGCTACGCCGCCAACCAGCTGGAGCATGGGGGCCGCTATGACAAAGGACCTGCACTTGTGAACAACTCAGCAGTGCAATAATCTGGCGGTCCTAGGCAGTGTGGGACACCAAGCCACTGAAGGAGAGGGGGAAAGGGAAAAAGATAGAGTCGGCAATGTGAAGGGATGCTGGGAGGCTGGTCCAGGCAGTCTGAGCTACAGAGGGGCAGGCTTCCTTCTCCAGCAGTGGCATCGTGGTGCAGGAAACCAGGGCTAAGGAAGTGTAAGGGGCCGAAGGGGGCAGCAAGACAGCAGGGGCATGCCCCCATGCCCACCATTAACTGGGAGACTGGGCACAACCCTACAGCAACTAGCACCTTGGGGTCCAGCGCGCAGGCAGGCCTGCCCCTCCTGCCAATGTTGCCCCTGCTGCCCAAGGCTCACCCTGCAAACCATAAGCAGAACGAAGCATTTACAAGCAGCCAGTAGCCGTGACAGCAAGAGTGACAGCAAAGGGCCGTGATGGACAGGAGCCCCCACCTCCTCACTGCACACCCTGCTGGGCTCACACATCAGAGACTGCTCACAAGTGACAAGCTCCTTTGGGAAATCAGTGCCGGGCAAACCGAGCTGCTGGCTCTTTGCTCTGTGACACCATGCCTGTGTTCTCAGCCAGGTGCGTGTATAGGTATGCACGCGAGGGTGGCAGTGCCTCAGGGCAAGGAAGCTGCCCTGAACACAAACAAGCAAGCCTAGAGCCCACGGGAGGTTGTAAGGGTCACCCCTCCAGGGTTTTTGGAGGAACAAGGCTACAGGCAGGAGCTGGGGAAGCTATTTGAGACCTCAAACACCTGGGGTGTAGTGCTGTCCTGTGATATCAAGGGGAGTTTTCTCCTGAATTTCACCAGAATGAGGATTTTGCCGGTTCCCTTTCCATTTCATAACACCAGGCATCTGCAAGCCCAGCTGAACAGCACCATGCTGAAAGACTTGGGCCCTACATAAGATCTCCCAGCCCATCCCCATCTCCACCCAGGCCCAAGCAGGTCTCCTAGCAGCTTCCAGGCCGAACCCCCCTCACAGAGGGATCCAGCTACTTGCCTCCTGACAAGCTACTGGCCAACTTGAGGAAGCTTTGGATTTATTTCATGTGACATGGACTGATTGTGAAATCTGCCCTACTGTCTTCTTGCTCCTTCTTAAAGGGGCCAGGTATTCAGAGCACAAACTCTCAGCTTGGGACCTGGGAGCACACAGTGCTGTGCCAGAGGCAAGACAACCCTCTTGAAATTGCTTGGTGGCTTCTGCTCCAACCTTCAAAACTCAGAGCACGAACGGCCACTCCAGATCAGACAGGGCCTGCAGCCTGGTGGTACGCTGCCCAAGCCTGGACAGGACTGGAGGCTTCAGCGGACAGCGGAGATGTGCTGCAATTTTGCCATAACCTACCTATGCGGAGGCGCATGTTCTCAGCATGTGGCAGTGCCTGGAAGCATGAGGCTTTACAACCCTTTCTGGCTCCTAGGATTAAAAAATAAATGAATCCATTTCAGGGGGCTGCGGCTGTTCCTGCATCCCAGCACGCCCAACAGCAGCTTGCTGTGCTTCCCAAAGAGACGGCTCCCAGGCAGCCTCTGCCTTCCCCAGGAGCCGGCTGTCTCTGTGCAGCAGAGATATTGCTTTGATGCTTGCTGTACCTTGGCTAAATCTGATCCCTTCCACGTGGGGGGGGATGTGCTGCAGGGGAAGGAGGGGAGGTGTGGAGCTGTATTTCCTCATTACAAATCAAACAGCGTGACTGACATCAAGAGACAGGAACACAGACAGAGCAGGAAAGGGAGGGGGAAGGGGGAAGAGCTACATCACTGCAAAGTAGAAAAAAGCCATCTTGCACCAGGGCGAGATGAGCAGGCGAGGAAAGCCGATGCTCAGAGGTGCTGTTGCTCTCTCTGGGTAGCATTAGGCCTCCCGCTCCCCTTATGGATCACTGTCTCTCTCACTCCCACTAGCACAGAGCGCTCCTCGGGCATGCCAGCTGTTGTGCGCACACCAGCCTGCCCTCCAATCCCACAGACTAGCCAATTGCCTGCAAGGGCTCAGCCTGTATCCCCCAAGTGCCCAGCATCCTGGGCCCAGGGTGCCTCTAAAGATAGACTAAAGCGCTGGGATGAAGACTGTGGCTGACGTCCCTGTGCCTGCAGTACAATGGGACTGCGCCCCACAAGGCTGGGGCTCACCTGTGCAGGGCACAGCGCTGTCTTGGGGAAGTGGCCTGAGTCTGTAGGATGAACCCCCAGGAGCTAAGAGCCATTGCTGACCTCCCCACCTCGTCCTCCGAGCACAAAGCTTTGGCTCTGCTTTCTCCAATGCGCGCGCACACACTTTAAAGAAATCCAAGGCAAAGCTCTGCACTAAAGACGCTTCTCTGTGGGAGAGGATCCGAGACATTAGTCACACCGCTTAGTCACACCACTTACCCACAGCTGAAAGGTGCTCAGAAAAGGGGCTGAGGAAATCCTAAGGACCTATAAAAAGTAGAGTCTCTCTCTTCTCACCTCTCTCCCACCCTGTTCCTGCTGGCCTCTCTCAAAGATTGAGATTGCACATGTAACCGTCATCTCCCATCGCTCACGTCCTCGGTACCTGCAGTGTGTCTGCTACACTGGCATCGTGTTCGACTGTGAAGGAGGCTTAGTTACAGCTCAAGACAGAGTAGGAGACAGGCCTCAGAGTGAAGGGACTGTGCATGGCACAGCTCCAGCCCAGCCCACTTGCTCAAAGCCTAAGGAGAAGCTCGTTCAGTCAGACATCCAGGACAACCTGGAATTGGTATGGGGAGGCCGTGGGCCATGACCGGGGTCTCTGGAAGGGTGAGCATGGCTGTATGCTTGACAGCAGAGAAGATGAACACTAGAAAACAACTGCCTTAGGAAAGGGAGCAGCTCAGCAGTCCCTCTCTACGCCAACCTCATTCAGCTCACTGATGCACTGGCCTGAACTCGATGCAGCCTTGTGCCACAAGCAACCTGCCCAAGCCAATCCGAGCCTCTGCTGCACCAGGAACAGGCACCAGGGGAACATGGAGGGACTGGAAGGGGCATGCTGGCAGGTGACTGGGATCATGCACACAGCAGAGATAAGCATCAAGTGCAAGACTCCTGAGCAATGCCATCTCTCCCAGCTTACTCTGTGCCCCAATGACATCTGGGGGATGAGAGAGAAGCAGCTTAGCAATGGTGTTCAAATCCCACCCTCACCTCCCTCTCCGAAGAAGCTCTGCCCAAGGGCCAATCTATGCCCATCCATGGTGTTATCTGCTGGAAGCCCTGAAGTGTGCAGCTACCGCCGAGTCTACCTTATGGTCCGAGTCGGCCTCAAGCTAGAACGCTCTTTTCTCATACCCTTTGCTGATCTCAGCCGCAAGCTGAAGATACAGTGAAGGGGCTGCTCCCTCCCAAGACCGCAGGTCAGTCAGGCAGCCAAGTTCGGGCTTCTCAATCTCCAGCCCCCTTTGCTTCCTTCCTTCCTGACCTTTTCTGTGCCATCCCTCTGGGGCAAAGTAAATACTTAGTAAAGTTCAGCCTTTCCTTCCCAAATCAATCACTTGCTAGATGGGAAGAGAGGAAATGTTGAATTTGCTAGTTCCCCTTCCCTCTCCAATTAGCCGAGACTCTCACCAAAGAACAGCAGAGTCCCAACAGCACCAGGGCTAGTAAATCTACAGAATGCTAGTTCGGACAACTAGAAATTGTCGACTAATTTAGGAGTTGCTAAGCCTGTTAGCATGTTGCTGGATGCAACAGAAGTGCTCAAGCTCTTTAATTCAGAACTAGACAGGGAGTCTGTTAGAGTCTATCCCAAAATCCCCGTGGCCATGGTGTCTTCCAGTGATGGATGTTGGCAGGGTCACTCATGACAACCCAGTTGGCTGAAATTAAACCAGGCCTTTCCAGAAGGGAACAAACAATTTGGCCCATTATGGAGACAGCTGTGAGCAATGACATTGGATAATCAGCCAGAGTTGGATCCTGGGTTTTCAATGCCCCCACTACCCCTCACCGGTGATGAGAGATGGAAAGCAGCGTCCCACCGATGTCCCTGAACACTGAGATGCCTGTGCGTCACATCGGACCAATTCCCCCGGGCCTGGGGGGCAGGTAGCACATTCAAATGCCCAGTGGGTCAAGATGCAGAGGAAGGTAGTGGTGCCAATACCAAAGCAGAGGGCATCAGCATTCAGCCTCCTCCCTCCTGCTAGGAGGGGCGCAGAAGAGGAACAACTGGAACCCCTTCCTGCCTCCCGGTTGCAAGCTCCCGGCATCATGGTTTACGAGCACCACTGTGGGGTTGGCAGGAAGAGAAACGGGGTTCTGCTCTATTCAGTTCCTTCTACTTTAGGAGCTCACTCAAATAGGCACAGGCCACACAGACCCCCAGGTGCCAGTAAATTAAACACGGTGTAGTTTCAATGTTTGGATAGGATCCCTGGGGCCTGGCAGGAAGAGACTTCAGGGCGTGGGAAGGAGGTGGTTTCTCTTGATGTACGTCAGCAAGGACAAGATGGAGCCACAGT